ACTGGAAATTCTTTCCTAACTGTTTCAGCCACAGTACAACTCCATTGTCACGTTTAAAGAATTTAACATTTATATGTGCATATTATGTCTCTTGGCTAATTTTGAGATCATGAATCCCATCTTAGTCTTCTCAGGGTCTAACATTTCATCTGTATATTCTGCATACTTTTTTTCTGAAGGATGATGGTATCAATTTTACAGAAAAGTATCTCGAGGTGCATGAAGGATCTTGAAAAATAGTTTGTGATCTGAGATGTTTTATTTCCAGCTCCTGTTTTCTGCAAAATTTCTTTTTTTTTTTTTTTTTGCTCTTGATATATGTACCAAGAAAGGATTAAGAAAGATAAACATTTAGTTGGAATTGTTCCAAGTTCCAAATCACTGTTGTGTGACTGAGAAATATTTTATTGTAATTACATGTAAGCCATTGCTTTGGGGGGGGGGGCAAACACTATTTTACAAAATAATTAAAGTTGTGGAGATGATTTTAAGTATGACTTAATTAAGAAGACTCTAAATATCAAAATTTTGAAAGTTGCTGTTTCTCACAAATCTTATTTTTAAACTGCAAGTGAAATAGGATCAAGATCAGGATACTTGCTTAAGGGCACATTAACCTTTATTTTCACATGCATGAAAAAATTTTTAAGGTCTCTTAATCTATAAGTTCCCCATCCAGCTCTTCTTTCTTTAACTCCTTGCAATTTATTTGTTGAAGAAGCTAGATGATTTATTCTGGTTTTCCAGGGTTGAGATTGTACTGCTTGGGTTCCTAATGTGTAATTTAGCATGTTCCTCTGTCCTCCATGTTTCCTACAACTTTGTAGTTAGATCCAGAAGCTTAATCAGATTCAAATTTCATTTTTCTTTCTTTCTTTTTTTTTTTTTGGTTAAAACTGCTTCACAGGTGGTGGTGTGTTCCTTCATCAAAAGACATAATTGTCTCTTTCAGATGTTAGCAGCCGTAGATGCCCAATACCCAATCCTTAATTCATTAGGGATTGCAAAATGGTGATTTCCAGTGCGCTCTCTCTTCTTGGTATATTTGTTGAAATACTTTATAAAGAGAAACCTTCCTTCACTTACTAGTTGTTTACCTGGAGGTATAATTTGTATGGGAAAGGTAGAAGAAATGGCTTGATTCCTAAATTTATGTACCAGTTTGCAAAATGAATAGTTGTTAGCATCCTTCAAAGGTGATTTATTAGATTTGTTGTTTTTTTTTAAATCATTATGAACTCATAGATTTAAATGTACTTAGCATCTTTCAGTCCATTGCAGTTACTCTTATTGATGCTCCGTTTATCATCATGAGCCAGTGAAAGGCTCTGCAGATTGCTTCCCAGTTCCTTTTGGCACAGCCCCAGTTTTTGATGGTTCCTTTGCTATCTGGTGTGACAAGATTCTCCTGGCTCATCTTGAACGTTTCCTACCTCAAACCTGTAATCATCCATTTTTCCAAGCAGTCCTGATTTCTTGCAGTGAAAACTGGTATTGCAAGACCATAGTCTGGATGCTATGGATGCTTATTGCTACTAGATTGTCCCATGTTTCTAGGCCTAAAATTAAAATACATAATAATAAAAATACTAAATACAAGAGAGAGATAATTACAGTTAAAAATTTCTAAGGTCCCAGCATCATCAGGAAGTGGTAAAAGCTCCACAGGATATTTACCTAGTTTTTTCTCGCCCAATATCTGTAGCCCTTTTTCTCACAGAAAGTATCCTGGTTCGCAGTCACCTGGCATAACAGAATTAAAAAATCAGTTTATAATTAATTTTATTCCACTTCTTTCTCTCTCTCTCTCTCTCTCTCTCACACACACACACACATATGCACACGCACACACATCATTCTCACAATAATAGTACCAACAAGCAGTTTGGGTATAAATTTTCAATAATTTTGGACCTCCTCAAAATTCCAAATAGAAAGTAAATGGGGAGGTGAGGTTGAAACTGACTAACTACTACCTGAGACTTTACATCAGACAGAAGAAAAGAATGGTAAATAATCCCAGTCAGGAACTCTAAACATACATTAAAAGTAAAGTTTTAGAGCACTTTGTTCTTCATAATTTTTTAAAGTTTCTGAAATACAGTCCTTATTAGAGCTTCTTTCTGCTTTTATGTCCTCTAATTTCTAGCAAAAGACATTTATTTTTGGAGGCTCAGCCAAGAGCTTATAAGACTTTTTGGATAACATTCCCCACTCGGCCTAACAGCAGGTCCAATGCACATAGTTCAGTTCAGTTGCTCAGTTGTGTCCGACTCTGATCGCATGGACTGCAGCATGCCAGGCTTCCCTGTCCATTACTAACTCCCGGAGCTTACTCAGACTCATGTCCCATTAAGTTGGTGATGTCATCCAACCATCTCATCCTTTGTCGGCCCCTTCTCCTCCTGCCTTCAATCTTGCCCAGCATCAGAGTATTTTCCAGTGAGTCAGTTCTTTGCATCAGGTGGCCAAAGTATTGGAGCTTCAGCTTCAGCATCAGTCCTTCCAATGAATATTCAGGATTGATTTCCTTTAGGACTGACTGGTTGCAGTCCAAGGGACTCTCAAGAGTCTTTTCCAACACCACAAAGGACACATACAATTATTTTCCAGTGTCATTAAGTAGGAATGGAAACCCAAGGTTACTGGTTTAACAATGTATCTGTTTTTTTTTTGCTTTTAAAAGAAGTTAGGAAGGCAACATGATAGAGTCCATAACCTTGGTCTCTTAAACAAGAAGGAAGTTTAGAAGGTTTGGGGCTGAAATTGCCCACTGTTTAGAAGCCCCATTGTGTCCAAGCATTTCCTCAGCTCCACCAAAATCACAGCACACATTTAGTTCACAGAATTGTTAGAAAGTTTAAATCAAAACTGTGCCCAATATAAATTATCATTATTCTCTTGGCTGGACACAACTTCAGTCTTCCAGTGCGTTTTGTGGCTTTGTATTTCCTATTTGTGTTTTTCATCAGTGCACCTGTAATGTTTTAAAAAGTAGTTCTAACCGGGCATCTTTCCATAATGACATCCGCTTTCTGTGAACCTACTTTTTTTAAAATGTATTTATTTTTGAACCTGTGTTTTTACTCCATAAGTTATAAATAAAGATGTTCTTGGCCATTGCAGTTGATGAGCTGAAGCTTTGAAATCTTTTTCAATGAGGAAGCTCAAAGTTTTATGAGAAAACAACTGCCATAAAGTAAAAAAAAAACATCTCTGGAAGCAGCATAGCATCCTGTCTCATAAATCTAAGATCCGAAACTCTCGTCAGGCTCCTTCCCTTTCCATTCCCCTTCCCTTTCTGTAAAACCCAAACGTTTAGAAGAACTGGAGTGAAGCAAAGGGAGAGCCACCCATTCAGTTCTCTGTCATCCTAGTCTCAACCTGTAGAGCGGCTTTAGTTCTGGTCTGGTTCTACTTGAGAAGTGCCTTGCCTTGTACTCACCAGGTTTTGCTGATGAGCAAATAAATCCCTGCTGACAACAGAAAGACCCTGATCATGTCGCTCCTCTGTGCAAACCCCTGTGATGACTCTCCCATTTTATTTGGAGATAAAGTCTATGTCCTTCCAATAGTACGCATGTGTGCTGTTGTAGGTGGACACAAAGATGGAGAGTCATATGCTCAGGTAGAAGCTTAGAGTCTTGTTATAGACAGAAAGAAGTGGGTAACAGATACGGGAACCATTAACAGTCTCTGCCAGATACTAAAATGCTATAAAGCAATTATAAGCTACTATAATTAAAATCTGATGTCTCAAGATAAAGAAGCAAGGTTAAAACCTCAGGTACTGAAACGTGAGTAGAAAACCAGATAATTGGAAAACTTTTATATTACATTTTCATAAATGTCCGGGCCTGCATTGGTGCTCACCTGGAAGGAGTTTTGTTGTTCAGTCTCTCAGTCACGTCCAACTCTGCAACGCCATGGACTGCAGCACACCAGGATTCCCGGTCCTTCACCATCTCCTGGAGCTTGCTCAAACTCATGTCCATTGAGTCGGTGATGCCATCCAACCATCTCGTCCTCTGTTGTCCCCTTCTCCTGCCTTCAGTTTTTCCCAGCATCAGGGTCTTTTCCAGTGAGTCATCTCTTCGCATCAGGTGGCCAAAGTATTAGAGCTTCAGCTTCAGCGTCAGTCCTTCCAGTGAATATTCAGGGTTGATTTCCTTTAGGATGGACTGGTTGGATCTCCTGCTGTCCAAGGGACTCTCAAGAGTCTTTTCCAACACCACAGTTTGAAGGCATCAATTCTTTGGTGCTCAGCCTTTTTTACGGTCCACCTCTCACACCGGTACCCAGCTACTGGAAAAACCATAGCTTTGACTACATGGGCCTTTGTCAGCAAAGTAATGTCTCTGCTTTCTTAATATGCTGTCTAGGTTTGTCATAGCTTTTCTTCCAAGGAGCAAGCGTCTTAATTTCATGGCTGCAGTCACCATCCACATTGATTGTGGATAAGAAGAAAATAAAGCCTGTCACTATTTCCATTGTTTCCCCATCTATTTGCCATGAAGTGATGGAACTGGAAGCCATAATCTTTGTTTTTTGAATGTTGAGTTTTAAGCCAGCTTTTGAATTGTCTTCTTTCACCTTCATCAAGAGGCTCTTTAATTTCTCTTCTCTTTCTGCCATTAGGGTGGTATCATCTGTATATCTGATGTTATTGATACTTCTCCCAGCAATCTTTTTTTAAAATTTATTTATTTTTAATTGAAGGATAATTGCATTACAGAATTTTGTTGTTTCCTGTCAAACAAAAAATATGGACCGCTTCACAAATCTGCATGTCATTCTTGGGCAAGGGCCTTGCTAATCTTCCCTGTATCACTCCAATTTTAGTATATGTGCTGGAAGCAAGCACTCCCAGCAATCTTGATTCAGGCTTGTGCTTCATCCAGTTTGGCATTTCGCATGATGTTCTCTGCATGTAAGTTAAATAAGCATGATGACAATATCCAGCCTCGACGTATTCATTTCCCAATTTTGAACCAGGCCATTTAACCTTTCTTAAAAAGCAGAGACATTACTGTGTCAAAAAAGGTCCATCTAGTCAAGGCTATGGTTTTTCCAGTAGTCATATACAGATGTGAGAGTTGAACTATAAAGAAAGCTGAGCGCCAAAGAATTGATGCTTTTGAACTGTAGTGTTGGAGAAGACTCTTGAGAGTCCCTTGGAATGCAAGGAGATCCAACCAGTCCATCCTAAAGGAGATCATTCCTGAGTGTTCATTGGAAGGACTGATGTTAAAGCTGAAACTGCAGTCCTTTGGCCACCTGATGCAAAGAGCTGACTCATTTGAAAAGACCCTGATGCTGGGAAAGATTGAGGGCGGGAGGAGAAGGGAATGACAGAGGATAAGATGGTTGGATGGCATCACCGACTCAATGGACATGGGTTTGGGTAGATCCAGCAATTGTTGATGGACAGGGAGGCCTGGTGTGCTGTGGTTCATGGGGTCGCCAAGAGTTGGACATGACTGAGCGACTGAACTGAACTGAACTGAAACTGCAGTATATTTAATTTACTATGTGCTATTTTCAAGTGTACTGCAAAGTGATTTAGGATTCCCTGGTGGCTCAGACCGTAAAGAGTCTGCCCGCAATGGGGGAAACCTGAGTTTGTTCCCTGAGTCTGCAAGATCCTATGGAGAAGGAAATGGCAACCCACTCTAGTGTTCTTGCCTGGAAAATCCCATGGACAGAGGAGCCTGGGAGGCTACAGTCCATAAGGTCACCAAGAGTCAGACACGACTGAGCAACTTCACTCACTTACTCATCCTATGCTATACAGTAGGGGCTTCCCAGGTGGCGCTAGTGGTAAAGAACCCACCTGCCAACTGAGATATCGTAAGAGACTTGGGTTTGATCCCTGGGTCAGGAAGGGCATGGCAACCCACTCCAGTATTCTTGTCTGGAGAATCCCATGGACAGAGGAGCCTGGAGGGCTACAGTCCATTGGGTTGCAAAGATTTGGACACAAATGACAGCATGCAGGCATGCTATACAGTAGACCCTTGTTCATCTATTTTTATATATAGTAGTGTATATATGTTAATCCCAAACTCCTAATTTGTCTCTACTTCCGCCTCCACACTATCCCATTTGGTAGTCATAAGTTTGTTTTTTGTGGCTGAGTCTATTTCAGTTTTGTAAATAAGTTCATTTGCATCATTTTTTAGATTCCACATGTAGTTGATGTCACAAGGTATTTGTCTTTCTCTGTCTACTTACTTCATTTAATATGATTGTCTGTAGGTCCATCTTATGTTACTACAAATGTCATTATTTCATTCTTTTTTGTGGCTGAGTAATATTCTATTGTATATATACCATGTCTTCTTTATCCATTCATCTATAGATGGACACTGACATGCTTCCATGTCTTGGCAGTTGTAAATAGTACTGCTAAGAACATTGGGGTGCATGTGTGTTTTTGAATTGGAGTTTTCTCCAGATACATGCCTATCAGTGGGATTGCAGGATCACATGATAACTCTTTCTGTAGTTCAAGAAACCTCCATACTGTTTTCCATAGTGGCTATACCAATTTACATTCGCACCAACAGTGTAGGAGGGTTCCTTTTTCTCCATACCCTCTTCAGCATTTATTATTTGCAGACTTTAAAAAATAATTTTATTATTTATGGCTGAGCTGGGTCTGTGTTGCCGTGCCGGCTTTTCTCTAGTTCCGGTGCACAGGCTTCACATTGAGGTGGCTTCTCACGCTGCCAAGCGCGGGTTCTAGGCTGCACGGGCTTCAGTGGCTGCAGCACGTGGGCTCCGTTGTGGCTCCCAGGTTCTAGAGCACATTATCGATAGTTGTGGCACATGGGCTTATAAGCTCTGCAGCATGTGGGATCTTCCCAGATCAGAGATCAAACCAGCGTCTCCTGCATAGGCAGGTGGATTCTTTACCACATGACCCACTAGGGAAGCCCTGTAGACTTTTTAATGATGGCCATTCTGACTGGTGTGAAGTGATATCTCATCGTAGTTTTAATTTGCATTTCTCTAATAATTAGTGATATTGAGCATCTTTTCATATGCCAGTTGACTATCTGTGTGTCTCCTTTGGAGAAATGTCTATTTAAGTCTTCTGTCCTTTTGATTGTATAATTTGTTTTTTAATATTTTGTAGATTTTGGAAATTAATCCCTTGTCAGTAGCATCCTTCAAATATTTTCTCACAGTCTGTAAGTTGTGTTTTCTTTTTTTTATGGTTTCCTTTGGTGTGCAGAAACTTTTAAGTTTAATTAGGTTCCATTTGCTCATTTTTGCTCTTATTTCCATTACTCTAGGAGACAAATCCCCCAAAAATACTGCTGTGATTTATGTCAAAGAGTGTTCTGCCTATGTTTTCTTCTAGTAGTTTTATAGTATCTGGTTTTACATTTAGTTCTTTAATTCATTTTGAGCTTTTTGGTACATGGTGTGAGAAAATGTTCTAATTTCGTTCTTTTCCATGTAGCTGTCCAGGTTTCCTGGCACCACTTATTTTTAAAAATATATTCTCTTTTCTTTTTGAAAAATATTAATTAATTTTGTGTGTGTGTGTGCTGGATTGTGGTTGTTGCACTCGGGCTTTCTCTAGTTGGGGAGAGTGGAGGCTACTCTCCATTGCCGTGCTCAGCCTTCCCATTGCAGTGACCCCTCCTGTTGCAGAGCATAGGCTCTAGGCGTATGGGCTTCAGTAGTTGCAGCACAAGGGCTTAGTTGCTCTGTGGCATGTGGAATCTTCCTGGACCAGGGATCAAACCTGTGTCCCCTGAATCGGCAGGCAGATTCTCATCCACTGAGCCACCAGGAAAGTCCTCCAGCACCACTTATTGAAGAGACTGTCTTTTCTTTTCTGTATATTCTTCCCTTCTTTGTCATAGATTAATTGACCTTAAGTGTGTGGGTTTATTTCTGGGTTTTCTATCCTGTTTCACTGATCTATAATATACATGCAAATCCTTTTGAATCAGAAGAGTTCTTTGTTAGGGAGGGAACACTTCTTCCCCTCTCCTGATGGCCCTTCTATGTGGAAGTAGCTCTACTAGTTTAACACCCCCACCTTGCTTCTTCCTACAGAAGGAGGAATGATTATCATTTTGCTGTTGTTCGTTTTTTAATTCCTGTTTTTTTGAGATATGTGACATGGGACATACAGCACTGTGTAACATTAAGATCTACATCACAGAATGATCATCACAATAAGTTTAGTGACCATCCATCATCTCATATAGATAAAAATTTAGAGAAATATATAAAACCTTTTCTTTGTGATGAGAACTCTTAGAATTACTCTCCTAAAAACTCTCATATCTAACATACAGCAGTGTTAATTATATTTATCATGTTGCACATTGCACATTACATTCCTAATACTTATTTACCTTGTAAATTGAAGTTTGTATCTTTTAACTGTCTTCATCCAATTCCCCCACCCCACCCCCTCTCTCTAGTAATTACAAATTAGACCTCTTTTTCTATGAGTTTGTTTTTGAAGTAAATTGACCCACAACACTTTATTACTTCCTGATAGACAACATAGTGATTCCATATTTCAAAATAATCACCACAATAAGTCTAGTTATGATATATCACCATACAAAGTATTACATTTATTGACTATATTCCCTACACTGTATTTTTTATATCCGTGACTCATTTATTTTGCAACTGGAAGTTTGTACCTCTTAATATCCTTCATCTATTTCTTTCCTCCCCTCACTTCCCCACCCTCTGGCAACCACCTGTTTGTTCTCTATATTTACAACCATTTCTGTTTTGCTACATTTATTCATTTGTTTCTTAGATTCCACATATAAGTGAAATCATACAGTATTTGTCTTTCCATGACGTTTCACTTAGCATGGACCCTCAAGGTCCATTCATGTTGTCACAAATGGCAAGATTTCATTCTTTTGGCTGAGTAATATTCCATTATATTAATATATACAAAATCTTCTTTATCCATTAATCTATTGATTGGCATTTAGATTGCTTCCATATCTTGGCTGTTGTAAATAATGCTTGTGTCCTTTCTAATTGATATTTTCATTTTCTTCAGATAAATACCTGCAAGTGAAATGTCTAGGTCTTATGGTCATTCTGTTTTTAATTTCTTGAGGTATCTCCATACTGTTTTCCATAATGACTGCACCAGCGATGACTTTTCTATTATAATTATTATATTTGTAAAGAATAAACAGGGAAGGCTCCACTCAGCCCTTTCTGTCTCCAAAACCTGTTCTGAGAGGCCTTAGGTGACCAACATTACCTGTGATTAAATGGAGAGATTCAGAATTAGGAAGCCCTCTTATGTAAGTAATATGTCACATTCTTTAGCATCAGATCTTATCAGTAATAAAGGTCATACTTTTGACCACCTATCTGCCTAATGCTTTTGATTTATGTCTCAATTGGCTCAGAAACCTGGATGAAGATGAAGAGTGTTATTTATCACTCTAATATCTAAAGGCATATCTAGGGGTTTATCTTACAGATGTATTTACATATATGTGAAATAACACGTATACAAGTTTATCCATTGCAAGATTGTTTGGAGCAGGAAAAGACTGAGAACAATCTACATGTCTATGTAAAATTATTTAAATTAAGACACTAATGCACAATGGAATATTATACAGCCATAATACTTGAATAAGCTCCAAGATAAAGTTAAAAAAGTGTAAATCATTTCATGATATAGGTAAGTCAAATCATTATGCTGTATATCTTAAACTTATACAGTGCTGTATGTCAATTATATCTCAGTAAAACTGAAAAAGAAGTTGATGATAAATGTTATGAAAAAATTAAATCTGGGTGAAGAAGATGGAATGGCAAAATTGTGAGAGAGGTTCTATTTATATATGGTGGTCAGAAAAGTTCTCTCTGATATGACACCTGTGCTCAGGCCTGAAGGAAGAAAGACTAGAATTTTAAAAACAAATAGTTTAAAGGCCCTGAGGTATGTATACTCTGAGATCTTTTGTATACTTACTATGTAAAAAGATTTTCCCTAGGCTTAGTTAATTCTTTTCTTTTTTTTTTACATAGTGAAAACTTTTATATTTGGAATTAGCCAGCTGGACTCAGTTTAGATGATCCCAATTTTGTTGGCAGCATCCAAAGCATCATAGTCAGGAGCCAGTCGAACATCAGGCCTGAGCAGAGTACTGACCTCAGCCGCGTCAGTGTCACAGAGCTTCTTCACAGCCTGTTTAATTTGGTGCTTGTTGGCCCTCACATCCACAGTGAATACCAGGGTGTTGTTGTCTTCTCTTTTCTTCACGGCTGGCCCGGTGGTGAGGGGGACTTTGATGATGGCATAGTGGTCAGGTTTGTTTCTCCTAGGGGCGCTCTTCCGAGGATATTTGGGCTGCCTCCTGAGTCGCAGTGTTTTGGGCTGCCGGAAGGTGGGTGACGTCCGGATCTTCTTTTTCTTGTGACTGTGGACACCTTT